TTTCCCACAATACAATAATTGTAGCCCTTTCTTTTAGCTTTCTGAATATACTGAAATCACGTTATTTGGTTTTGTTTTCATAGAGAAAAACACAAAAAAAAAAAAAAAAACACAATGCTTTTGAAATTCCTTTACCTCATATCTCCACAACAGCAGCACTTCAGAACATAATTCAAACAGATTCGGGAAGCTACAGTGTAGGGCTACAACTTTCGTTTTTTGACCATTTTTGGTAATTGGTCATGTGACCACCCTCCAGGGAAGCCCATTGCATGGACCCTGACATGTGGGATACATTTGAAAAATTGCAATGAAATGCCCAGGGCTACATTTGAAATTTTGCAATGAAATACCCAGGGATACATTTGAAATTTTGCAATGAAATGCCAAGGGTATCTATTGAAAAATTGCAATGAAATACCCAGGAATACATTTGAAAAATTGCAATGAAATGCCCAGGGCTACATTTGAAATTTTGCAATGAAATATCCAGGGATACCTTTGAAAAATCACAATGAAATGCCAAGAGTATCTATTGAAAAATCGCAATGAAATACCCAGGAATACATTTGAAAAATCCCAATGAAATGTGCCAGGTATCCATTGAAATTTTGCAATGAAATATCCAGGGATACCTTTGAAAAATCCCAATGAAATACCCAGGGATACATTTGAAAAATCACAATGAAATGCCCAGGGAATTTATTGAAAAATCACAATGAAATGCACCAGGTATCCATTGAAATTTTGCAATGAAATATCCAGGGATACATTTGAAAAATCACAATGAAATACCCAGGGATACATTTGAAAAATCGCAATGAAATGCCCAGGGTATCTATTGAAAAATCACAATGAAATACCAAGGGTATCTATTGAAAAATCGCAATGAAATATCCAGGGCTGCATTTGAAATTTTGCAGAAAATGCGCTGGGTATCTATGGAAAATTCACTATGAAATACCCAGGCCTACATTTGAAATGCCTTTCAAAAAATCCTAAGCATTATAGATATGGCCTCTAGGCTTAAGTCTAAGTTATAGAAATGACTCTCTAGGCTTAAGTCTAGGTTATAGATAAAAGTGGTAGCCACCAGTCCTCCACAAACTGATAGGCACTAAGCTCAAAATGTCGAGCACTTATCATCCAGAAACGGATGGTTCCACGGAACGAGCCAACCAAACAGTAACTCAAATGCTGAGGCAATGCAATGCATTAACGAGAAACAAACAGATTGGGTCTCCAAGTTACCCACAATCGAGTTCGCCATAAATTCGGCCAGATCAGAAAGTACGGGTTACGCACCGTTCTTTTTGAACACCAGACGAATGCCGAGATCCATGATTTGGACTTCAGCCAAATCTGACGAATACCCCACTGTCCGCACATTCGCGATACAGAGAAAGCTAGCCCTGATATCCGCACACAACAGTATCCTAGCTGCCCGAGTAAAGCAGACTAGGAATGCGAATAGAAAGCGTCAGCTCGCACCCTTCAAGGAAAACGACTTGGTTTATATTTCCACCAAGAACATCTCGTTCCCTAAGGGCCTCGCTTGTAAACTGGTCCCCAAATATATTGGACCTTACAAAATTGTGAAGGACTTTAAAAATCAGTCTTTCCAGATGGATTTGCCCTCATACCTGAAACAACGAGGAGTTCACAATGTTTTTCACGTGTCGTTACTGTGAATCCACATCCCAAACGATGACTGACTTTTCCCCGGTTGTCTTGATGCGCAGTTCTCTCTTGGCGATAGCTCGGAGGGTGAGTGGGCTGTGGATAAAATCTTGTCCCACTCCGGATCAAAGGAAAATGCAATTTTCGAGATATTGTGGTTGGCTGGCGACGTCACCTGGCTGCCTTACCATCAAATCTCTCATTTAAATGCCCTCCCTGTGTACCTCGACTTGCTTGGTATCTCCGGTATTTCGGAGCTGCCCAAGGGACATGGTAAGCCACCTGCTGATGACCCACAAATTTTCAGTGGTCAGCTGGATGTAATTCCAATTCCTCAACACCATAAATCCCCTTCCCAACGTCGCACCAAATTCAGACGCTTGTCCCCGCTCATCACCCTTCCATTTTGCAACAAACACACTTCGTCTCACACATTGTCTCTTTGCGCCACCATGCTTGACACCGACATCATTCTTCCTGACGCCCCTCCGATCACAGCTCTCGATCAGGTTGACCCTGCTCCCGTCATCCCTGTTGGGAAGAAGCTCCCTCGAATTCTCCCTCGCTCTATCGTTCACACTCAAATCAAGTGTCTCTCTCGCACGAACTTCCTTGCAACTGACCCCATCAAAGAGGAGAAATATTTCTTCCATGCTGGTCAGATTGCCAGCTTCTGCTCCACCGATGCAGAACTTCGTCGTCGCCAAGTGCCCGATGCCTTTCCTGCTGGATACTGTGACTTCGCTGAGGTCTTCAACACTCACATTGAAGACAACCCCATTCGCTTTGCCACCTATGATGCCAAAACCAAAGAATTCGATTTAAACGGCGACCCAGTCACCTTAGCGGATTTTTATATCACAGATAACAACATTGGCGCCAAACCTCGCACCAACCAGCCTGCGCGTGAACCAGAAACCAAACCCAGAGGCAAGAAGCGTCCTGCTCCAGAGTCCAACGAGCCTACCCCTTCCTCCTCTTCCTCCAACGCCTTCACTCCCCTCGTCGTTGAACCCGAACCCGAGCGCCAAGGTCATTGAGAGCCTTTTATGGCACGCCGCCGAGACCCTCCAGAAGCAGCAGCAGCGCACTGACACTGCCAAGGCTACCTGTCTCCAAAAGAAGAACGACCGTATCCTTCTAGCCGCAGCTCACGCCCGCTCCTCCACTTCCTAATTCATTTCTTTTCAACCACGTCTCCACGGCACACCAAATTTATTCAATCTACCTTCCACTCTCAACGTTCACCCCTGACACCATTCTATCTATATTCAAGAAAGGCACTCCTGTGGAATACCTGGAGGTCGTATGTAACAGACGTGACCTCAATATTGCTTCAATATCATGTGTCTACTGATAACGGTTCCAATCCTCTCGTCTTCGCACTTACGCACTCGGCCTCTGTCGGCCCATTCTCAACACCTACGGTTTGATATCTCTATGGAAACTTACTGCTCCCTGCTCCCATTACCTATCACCTGCCTATCCCATTTGTTATTCCTATGCGTTATCCCCATCGTTGTCTTACCCCTTGCCCTACCTACTGCTGTATATAAGAACAGACTGTAACTCGTAGTTACCCCAGTGAATACCAGAGTCTTAACCAGTCTTTCGTGTTTGCTCTTGCTCTCAGTGTGCCAGCTCCAAACTACAGTCACCTTCCGTCACCGTGGTCACAGATCTGTCACAGTCACGAACACATCAGTAACGGAAAAGTGACCTTTCAAAATGCAACGCTTACGTCTTGTACCCAAAGGGTCTCTTGCAGGCTTTGCCCGTCGGTGCGCTCATTCAACCCATCGAAAAGGTCCTTGAGAGACTTCCTTGGACCACCAAATGTCTTTGTAATCCGATTTTCGACCTCGACTCTTCCATTTGTTCGAACTCCACAAGTGAACTTGTGGCTGACATACACCCATGCCCACTGCCTTCAACAAGGGTACAGCTCTTCATTAAGGTACACCTGTGCAGCAGGGTATTGAACAGTGAGTTCCTGCCACTTTATATCGAAGTTTTCTGGTGAAATTGCCCTGTATACAGCCCAGAAGTCGTTCTTGAAGGGCATCCACTGGTCAGAGGGAATAACCCTGCGAAGATTTTTGTCGACATTGCCATCAAGATGCTGCATGCAGAAAATGTGTTCCGAACTGACAAGTACTTCCTTGACTGCAGAAATCAAGGAGTGATGTCGATCCGATATGAAAGTGTTAGGTGCGAAACCTGCACTGTCCAGATGGCAGCGAAGAACCCAGGCATGGTGCACATGGTCTTCAAGTGCTTGAAATGCATACCACGTGTTCCGTGAATGGCCATGCCCATCAATAACAATGCCAATGCCAAGAGGGTACCCAGCCTCATTGCGACCGTAGGTGTTATCATTTCGTTGACCAAGATCTCTTTGCAGAGGTGATTGCCACCAGACACCTGTCACCACTCCATCTTTGTTGACCTTGATGTGGGATAGCCATCCGTGAGTTTCTCTTGCTAATTCTTCGAGTTTAGCGATGATTGCGTGCATACTCCCACCCAGACCTTCAACTTCTTGACGAGCCTCGCGACGCGCCTGACCCATGATGTTTCCGATTTGGCGGGGCTCAAGAATGGTCCCTGTTTGCGTCTTCATAACAGTCGCAAGTTGGCCATGTGTGAAACAACTTGAAGAACTGGTGGCAAGGTTGGAGATAATCACTTTCTGCTCCTCGGTTGGTCGGCGGCGTATCGGAGCACCTTCAGGTATTTGACGAGCGTGGTTGTGGTCCCAGACAGCTGTGGTAATGACCCATTGTGCTCCTTTTCGATTGACATTAACATGCACTTTACAGTTAGTCTTAATTGTTTTCCCTTGAAGATGATCTGAAGGGTCAATGTTGACTGCGTGCGTTGGCGTGTGGGTGTAGTAACAGTTGCATTGGTAGGTCCTTTTCTTCAGTTGACCGTAACTATCCTTTTCACTCTGTGCTTTCTTCCAGCGGTAACCGAGAGCCTCTTCATGTGTGTAGACAGCCGCTTCAGCCTCGTCAATGGATTGATACACAGAAAAAACACCAACAGCGCCAGGAGCGACATTCACACTCCTCGCAGGTGGACTTTCAGGCTTGACACGTCGGGATACATGCATCGGCTTCTCTGGACTGCAGAGGTCAATGATAGGCTCGTGTTTGATGTTTTTCCTGTGGATCATAGCCCCGACCTTTTCTACTGGCTTTCCGGTGTGCAAAGATCAATAACTATCTTTTCTTGTTTGATGTTACGCAGTATGTCATCCTCGGAATTGTCGCTTTCCTTCATTGGACTGATACTGTAAACAAGCCTTTTGGTGACAGGCTCTGGAGTCTGTGAAGGGGTGTGATAGGCAGTCGAAGCCCTTGATCGAGGTATAGGAACTGGTGACGACGTGACAAATATTATCTCAGAGGGTGAATCTGGTGAGATCGGTCCTTTCTTAGATGATGATGCTTTTCGTTTGGCTAATGGACTTGTTGTCGGTGATCCTAGGCTTTTATCCAAACTTTTACAACATCGCTTTCCCGGTTTTCGAGTTGGTGAGAAGATTGACACAGCCTACGGCGCTGATAAAGGCTTTTTGGCCTGGAACTTGAATGGTGGGAGAAGAGCTTTTGAGGTCTCTGGAGGTAGTAGTGTTGGGATTGAGCAACTAGCATGGGTCTCGAAAGCTGAAATGAGCACTGATGACTCGTAGGTTGGTGCTGAGCCTGCAAGCTCAGACAAAAGGGGGATTCGCGTTTGTTGTACACGTTTGGTTTCAGATTGGAGAGACGTCTTGTCTAATTTGTCAAAACACGAGATAGGTGGTCCATCTACATGATTTTATGTTATTTTATTATATCATAAGAATAAAAGGCATCGTTACCAAAGGCACATATAATTTATAGTCATTGTAACCTGTGGCCATTGAATCGATCCCAGGGCTCCCAGAGATTGCTTCACCTTCGAAAAATTTCGAAGTCCAATCCATAAATGTGCCATCTGATTGTGTTGCGAGGTGGTGAAAAATTAGCAAGCATTCTAGGGCAGCATCACGAAAAAGCCTGGACTTGGAACCTGTCCATCGTCGAAGTCCTTTCGGGGTTCCAGCAGCAAGCTGAATAAAATTGAGTGCAGCCAGACCACAGCTTCCAGTGCCATTGCTGACCCCCTGCTTTGAGATAACGCCGCATCTGATGTGTTTGATTTCATGTTGAATGACACCGGAAAAAACCCACTGGAGTATCGAAAGAATGTGCAGTGGAGGTGCATGGTGCATGGAATCACCATATTCTATGACTGATGATCCCTGCCGATAAATAAAGGCCGTGAAGTGGTTTTCATGAACCTGGCCCATTGCAATGACCTGGACAGTTGCCAAGGCAATGCGCCTGCGGATGTCCAAGATTTCTTTGGTGTATATGGGGGTAATGGCTTCATAAGCAGTACAGGCATCGGCCAGAAATGATGTAGGGAGTAGTGTTTGAAAGTTAGGTTAGTTAACCGGAAAATAACCGGACCTAACCGCAACACTAACCTAACCATGGTTAGGGTTAGTTGATTTCGAAAATGCCATGGTTAGGTTAGTGTTGCGGTTAGGTCCGGTTATTTTGCGGTTAACTAACTGTTAAATAACCGGTTATAACTGGTTATAACCAGCCCTATTATACACCTTAAAAACGCACTTGAGAACGTCGAAAACGCTTAAAATTTGACTAAGTTACGGTCAAATCTCTAAAATATCACTCAAATGTGTAGACTTTCAAGGATAATTGCATAAATATGTCAATTCTTCACCGATTTTAGCGTTCTTGGGCTCGTTTTAAAGCTAGAATATGCAGAAATAATATCTATCAAGATACATATGAGCATATTTGCCTTGTTATAACCGATTCTTTATTTTTTGGTCCTAACCGGTTAGTAACTGCAAATAACCGACCGTAACCGGTTAGTTGCGGTCCGGTTAGGTTATTTTAGGTTTCGGGACAAAGGCTAACCGGTCTCGGTCTTGGTTAGAACCCTGGGCACCCAATAACCAGACCTAACCAGACTTTCAAACACTAGTAGGGAGGAGTATTGTGCTGGAATTTTGCTCAGAACTCAAGGTGTAATGGGTGTTTTGGAAATAGGAGAACTCAAGGAGGGCATTGAATATGTCTTCCTCAAGCCATGACTCCCCTAACAAGCATCCTAGCTTGTCAAGCTGGAAGTCAGAGACATAAAATCCTTGTATTTTCGAAGTAACCAGTGAATTCCGGAACGTCTCGAAAGCTGAGCCAAGGTTGAAGGGTCCTGACTGGATGTGCATCAAAAGGTGTCGATAGGAGATAATGGCCGGCTCATAGTTAGAGCAGTTCCGAATAAGTTCAAGCTAGAACTGGGAATAAATTATCTCAAACGCGATGTTTGGCTGTTGCATACCTTTGAGAAATGATAGACCATGCACCTTTCTGTCCCATTGTAACGGAACCTCACTTCAGCTGATCGTGAACCTGCTGTATATTCATTCTCGATGCTGGAGGTCAGAAATTTCAGATCATTATAGTTTGGTATGACCTCGCCAGATATAATGACTGTAGCTGCAGCAGAAAAGGGAACTTCGGGTAAAAATCTAGCAGAACTGACAGATCCGATAGGGGCAATAGTTGGATAGGAGTATTCAGCAGCTTGAGTGATAGTAAGATTGTTGAAAAAGCTCGAGGAGAAGGCCAAATGTGGCAATGGAGATGTGTAGGAGCGAAAATTTGGCAGATCCATGGTGGTAGAGCACCTCAAAATAGCTCTCAGTCATTCTTACAGGTTGCAGACATGGCTTGGGCAAGCAACAGGCACATTCGGAGTGTTACCGTGCTGGGCACCATCACATTTGAAATCTTTGAAATTGGTACTACAGGCGGATGGAAGCAAATTTGAAAGATATACTACAAATACTGGGAGAGGCAGTTAGAAATGCTTGAAGGATACTTGACTAAGGCCTCACCATAAGAATTACTGATACCACAGAACTAAGATGAACGAGCGCGATGTGGTTGAGACTCAGACTGTGGGTTTTGCTTTGTGTGGTCACATGCCCTTATTTGGCAATGGCAAGGCACACAAATTCACATTATGATGGGCAAACAACAAATCATGGGGTTTCTCGCTTAACACACAGAAACCCCTGATTTCTCACAGAAAGGGGGTTTCTGAATAGTTTTATCCATTTTAACGCAAAGGGACAATTGTAAGGTACCACTCAATTGTAAATGAAACGAAAATTTGTAGTGAGCTCGTAGCTCAATTGTAATGTGCGATTTTCTTACTAGTCGATCTGCGGATTTGTAGTCGTGTTGTTACTTTGTACTGTTGAACAATTGTTATTAGAGGGAATCAAACTCTGAACCTATTGATTACTTACTTTGTTATGACGTGCTTACTGACTTGGCTATAGTTACCACTTGGTTATGGGGGCATATTTAGCAATAATATCTAGCTTAATTTGTCATGACAAGCACTAGGCTCGCAATACAGTTGATACAGAGCGCTGTTCTCGCTCCTCGTAAACTTAGCTAGATAGGTAAAAGAACAGTAATAAGTAAAAAAGTCGGTCCATAATGCAATAAACAAGTGAATCCAGTCAATTGCAGTAGCTAGACGTTGATACAACACAGATGTAGTAGCTCAGCATGCTCAATCGCCATTCAACGGCTGCTCGTCGACGATGCCCTCACAATGCTGGACCCAGCTATTTCGCATTTGCCTTCAATTTTGCACCACGCATCTGCCGACTTGGATGAGCGAGCGCCGCAGGTATTCCGGCACCTGAATCAGCATCAACGTGAACAACCGAAACCTGTTTTGGGCGTCGACCACAGGGAGCTTCAGTGGGTGGCGCAGGCACATCAGCAACAGCCTCGGAGGTTGAGGGAACAGGCGTGGGGACTCGATGACGTCCACGGGGTGGATTGATTGATTGGGAGATGGGCGCAACAGGAGCAGGGGTGTGCACTTCCACGTTTGGATGCAAATCCGGCGCCTGTTCCACATCTGAGTGGGCGTTCACGCACTCTACATCGGTTGGAAGGGTCTGGGGGAGTGGGAGTGAGCTAGAATTTTTCGAAGTGGGAGCTGAAGAAGTGTCGGCTCCCATACGCAGTCCACGGAACATGGAATCGAGACCTGGGTTTTCATCAGCGTCAACCCGGACACGTGGTGCTTCTTCTTCTTCGTCCTGTGAGTCGGGAGCGAGGAGGAATTGTGGAAAAACTTGCATGTTCCAGTATTGCAGGAGCTTTCGAACGGTTGGCGCATCCTGATTTTCGATTAAAAGCTTTTTGTAAGCTTCTGCCTCGCTCGCGTAGTTGATTCCTGTAAGTTTTCCAACACCATGCTTGTTCAGCTCAGGATCACCTCTGAGAAGAAAACGAATCTAATAATTTTGTTAGCCAGAGGACTTATATGCCTAATGAAGAGCTGTGAAGTGTACGACGACTGCAGTGTTGCTAATAAATCCAAAGGTAACACCATCTACATGGCTGTGAAAGGGACTGTTTTTGTTGAATGCAGCTCTCTCCAATGTGTACGATCGTGGGCCATAGGCGATGAGACGTGCCATCTAGTATTGTAAGTAGTACGACGAGTGTTTAGAAGTCCATTAATGAAAATACTTGAGAAATACTTACGGAGATCAAGTAATCACTTCTGAACATGCCCTCTTCATCATGAATATTGCCATTAGTATAGAGAACTGGTGCATTTGAGGGGTAGCGTGCTGTAGGTGTTTTCCCACAGGGGTTGAAGCCAAGAAGTGTCGCAAGTTCAGGATTAGCTTCCATGCGCTTCTCGTCACACTTG